TGCGAATGGATTCTGTCTTGAAGGCCATGTTGGAGACACGATTGGCACCCAATGAAGAAAATGAAATTGATATGCCTCACCCGTGTGCAGTCATGGAGGAAGAGGTCTTGCAGTCAATCCTTGAGAAGACAAAGGCAGACCTTGATGTGGCTGATGCATCTTCTGCTCAATCCCGTGCTTCTGAGATCTGCACATGGAGCAAGCTGCATATGGTCGGGTTCCAACATGGCAAGACATTCAGTGGCGTGTGTCAAGGGTTGTGGCCATTCGTGACTTACCAGCTGGAAGGTACAAGGGCCGTTGCGTTTGTTTCAATTGATGATGTGCCTTGTTTGACATTATATGAGTATTCAGTTTACACAAACATAGAATTGACAATTGAAATTGACATGGAGCACACTCACTGGGGTTAATGGTCAAGGGGTTCAGTGTCATGCATCCGTCACCATGTGATATCGATTGTGCTTCAATTTCAAGGTGCTACCTGCAGACACACCTGCTGATGCCAACCCTGGACAGCTCTGGAACATCTATGTGAAAGCGGTGCAGGACTTTGAGCAGACAACCATGGAGACTTTTGGTACCATGGAATCGTTTTGCACTGCTTGGGTAAACCCCGGAGACGCAACTTGGAAATATAGTGTTTTTTTAAAGCTACATGTTGAACATGTTGCTTAGAGCTATGATATCTGGAGACGTAAGAGCACTGATGAAGCACTGTCCACCTAAGGTAGTGTATTGTCCAGCCGGCTTCATATTTGCAGAGAAGGCACTTGTTGCCAACAACCTCATGTACAGGGTCTGCTCAAATTTTCTTGACTACCCAAGTTTCCGCGCACTCAAGAAAAATATGCATTTCTTTCCTCAGATGCTTGGATGCTGAATCTATTATCTATTGATTTTGGTGGTGGCTGGGGCTGGTGGTGATAATATATGTGATACCTGATGTTCATTACTGTTGGATGATGAATTTGATGGTTGCTTTTTGTGCATTTATTCTTTAGTCTTGCACTTTGCCTCGTGCAAACAAAACACACATGCCAAGGAGCGTTGGTGTGCAAGCCATGGTTTCCTACATCGAGACCAGTCATCAAGGGTGGCAAGATTATCGGGATGCAGTTCTACGCGAAGAGGATGTGGTTGGGGGTTGGTGATCCGACATGAAAACTAGTCTATATAATTAATCAACGCATGCCCTAGGTAATGGTGGCCACTTACATTTGTTCTCCTATTTCTATATGTGGTTACTAACATTAAAAATAATAGTTGTTATCTTTTTGTTGTATTTTTTAGTGATTAATTAATCAGAAAATAATCATTGAGTTAACATCGTGCATAGGTGCAAGCTCTGTCAAGCATGTGTGTTCCCGCAGGAAGCTCTGGCGGAATCCATGCAGGAAGTTCCGGCGGAATCCATGCAGGAAGTTCCGGCGGAATCCACATCATCAACCACACCCGTGGATCAACCCAGCTCTGGGCGCAAGAGGCAAATTGATGCAGCTGGAGACGGTGATGTTGCTCAGCGCAAGAAAACAACATCAGCACGAACCAAAGGTTTGTTGGTCACGTTACGTTCATTGACATTAAAAACTTACAGGAGAGCACCATTGCGGAACAAGCGTATGAGGGCCAACATTACTTCAAAAGCAAATGATGCTAATTTTCAGCAAGATCTGGAGATGATGAGATACGGGCCTGGACAGGGACAGGGATTGTGGCCAATTTCCTTGGGTTATGATTTCGCTAGCTGTGTTGATGCATATTTGGCTAGACTTGCTATTGCCTCGCACGCTCATTGGTTGCAATGGCTATAACTGTTGTGTTGTTGTCGTTGTTATTGTTTTTGTTAATGGTGTTGTTTTTTTTATGTTGTAGTTGTTATCATTTTTTGATATTATTGTTAAAAAAATTGATAGAATTGAATATGTCTAAGCTTGTTGGGCTTTTGTATTGGTACAGTATGCATATTATATATGATCGCAAACATTGACACTCACTGACACGCGTGGTTTCACCAAGGCTGGGCAGACTGGGTCTGCATTCACGCGCCCCAAGGACGAGTATGACAGCCTGGGCCTGGTGGCTAAGGCAGAGCTCCATGACAACCAGTTCAACCAGCTGGACCAGATGGTGGTGAGTAGTTTGGATGAGGACCCACCAACAGCAGCAGCACCTGAAGTAGAGATTGCAAAAGCAACTGATGCTCTAGTTGCTATGGTTGGTGCAGCCACTGCCACAAAGTCCACGGCAAATGACTCAGCAATTGCCAAGGCATTTGCATCAACGACCGCTTCCCCACCACAGCCAACTGGCAACCTTGTCATTGACTACATGAACTTGCCAAACGACCTTGATGAATTGTTGGCTGATGTGCCAGGACCAAATCGGGTAGACTTTGCCTCTGAGGTTGCCAAAGCGAGAGCACACACCCATTTTGGTGCATTTCTGCATTTCATGAATGTGGAGCATGGCTTGAACTATGATGAAGACGACACTTTGGTTTGGGGCGATCCTGATTCTGATGACCCTCAGGCTTCACTCAAAGACTGGTTGCTCTTTCTTCTGAAGAACAAACTTGCCAAGCAGGCCAACCAAACCATGCCATCGGCTGAAGAAACGACTCCAGCACTTCAGAGTGAAGCATATGCAGCGCAGCATACATCACCGACACCGCCGCAGCATGAGACACCACCAACACATACAGCTGCCATTGAAGCAACACAACCAGCTGGAGTACAACATGATCAGCAGATTCAGCAGACACAGCCAGAGCAGCAGCAACAGGAAGCACCAGGTTCTCTACAACCTTCAATGGCCCCAGCAGCCTCCTTCATCGACTACATGAACTTGCCAGACGACCTCGATGATTTGTTTGCGGATGATGATGTAAACATTGATGCTGAGGTTGCCAGGGCAAAATCCAGCCCACATTTTGCGGCTTTTATGGTGAATCAAAAAAACAAATATGGTGAAGATTATGGCAGCACTTGGGGAGATCCTACTTGTGAAGACCCTGGCGAAGCTCTCAAAGAGTGGCTTGAGTTTCTGCATGCAAACAAGTTTGCCAGTCCAACTCCAACACTTGGCAGCTCAGCACCACTAGCCGAACACATACCTCCAGCACCAGCAGCTGAGCAAGCAGCGCAGGCACCCAGTCGAACACTTGGCAACTTAGCAGCGCCACTAGCAGAACACACACCTCCAGCACCAGCAGCTGAGCAAGCAGCACAGG